CCAGCAGTGCAAATAGTCCCAGAGTAGATCAGTTGCCCGTGGACGGAGAGGTGGCCTGATCGACTTTGCTCCGGTTAGGTTCATTTAGTGCCTTTTAGTTTTTAGACATGATCAGGCCTCTAACACAACAATCAATCCTGACTATGAAGGAAAGACCAGAGCAGTGCAACACATCACACAACACAGGTGAGTCAAGAAAACCAGACATGTGAGCTGTTGCTCTGACAAACCCGCTAAAGGACCTCAAGATAAAACACAGTCAGGTGTTTAACTGGGAAAACTACATTTTTCAATCATTTTTCAATTCAATCATTTTCTGTCTTTTATTTTATTTTGTATTACTGTGTATTCACTGACTGAAAATTTTAGATCCATATTCTGTTTTTGCGATAATGGAATATTTTACAGGTACACTGACAGTGTTTAATGTATTTTTAATGTAGTGTAATGTTATTTTAGTCCAGTTTGATCTTTTTCTTTACTTTTATGATAAGAAAGCCAAGAAATGTGGGCAAGATAAGAATAGGAATCGAATACATCATGACTATAAATGTTTCTTCTGTCTTCAGCTGTTTAGTTTTCAACATTTGTTTCCCTAAAAGTGCATCAAATGTGCCATCTAAAGCCTGAACCTTTTGTGCGACTCATATAGAAAGGTGGCCTAACCTGGGACCATCTTGATTTCATCATATGCTTGTCTTCTAAGTTTTTTTGTTTAAAAATAGAGTTCTCTAAGTTATAATGTCCTTCTTGCTGCGCGTTAAATCAAAGTGAACCAAAAGTAGAAATCTAAATACACTTCAGAAAAGGAAGCAGCTGTGCCTCTTTCCTGCTTTCATCTCTGAACTGGCAGTAAAGCTAAATTTGCTATGAAGCAATGGAAGAGGTCTACAAAGAGTGGACGACTTAAAGCAGCGCAGCAGTAAAGGCGATGGCAATATATTTAATGTGTAAAACGCACTTTATATTAAATTTCTACCGGCCACCCCTGTGCTCACCTGTACGATCGTATAAAAGCTGACTCATTCGTCTTGGTTAAAAGGAAAAAGAGAAGAGAAAAAAAAGTGGCAAGGAAAAGGGAGTGAGCGAGGAGATTAGGCTGCTGATTGGATATGGTTCTCAATTCAGCTCCCTGCCAGTGCCAATAACAAAGAGGAGATACAATAGTAAAGGAGGGGGAAGAGGAGGACAGGGAGAAGAGGCTGGAGGTGGCGTAGGTTGAGTGTAATGGAGTCAAGACCCCTAACAGGCTGTCAGATGCTGCTCACTTGCTACGCTGTCATGCCTCACGCACACACACACGGATGAGAATCAATCCAGTGTTTTGCCAGACAGCTGGTGTGTTTGCGTGAGTGTGTGTGTGTGTGTGTGTGAGTGAGAGTGCGCCCCAGTGATAAATCTTAATTACACAATGGAGTGCAGCCCATGTGCCATCTCATCATACCATGTCAAATCTCATAAGCAACACTAAAGAGTGCAAGAGGAAGAGCCAGAAAATGAGATGCAACGGTATGAGACAGAGAGAGTGAGAAAATGTGTGCGCCATATCCCAATAAAAAAAAAGAAAAGAAGGAAAAGCAGAACTGAATAGGGGTAGAGGAAATGATGGGATACAAAGGGAAGGAAATCTTTGTATTCGATGCTCTGGGGTAGAGCCACTGTCATCCCTATTTTAGAGGTTTTAGAGAACATGAAAGACTTTTTCTGCGTTGCGTTACTGCCCTGTCAATATTAATTAAATCTAAAAACCTCTGGTGCTGCGACAATTGAGCGGATCTAGTTCGCACCACGAGTAGCTGGCGGATGAATACGCAGTTTCAGCATGTCAGAGAAAAGAAAGGGGCTGGGGGTGTTGTTGTGGCCCGCTGAGTCATCGCGGCCAGGGTGATTTGTAAAAGCAGCCCCCCAGAGTAATGGTTAATCGTGGGAAGTCTGGTGTTAGGGTAAGTGTGCCTGTGTGCAGGCCTCGCCTGATTGTGGACGGTTGCGGTGGGTTTTGGCGTGCCTTGGTGTGACAGGGCCAGTCAGGCGGATGGGGCGTGTGTTGTTGTAGCCGTGACAGTGGGGAAAGCCCTGTACAAGCAGCTCTCAGCTCTGCTGGCTGGGAGAAGAGCTGCGGCAGCTCTCCCAGAGTAAAAAGCAGAAAAAAGCTCTGTCCTTTTGTTTCCATGGCTGTGGTGTTCCCTCTGCTGTGGGTTTGGGAGTCTGGTCTGTGTGCCCTCCTGGTTGTCAGTGAATGTCCCATTGTCGCATTTGGTCCTATTTTGGACCTTTGGTATTGCCACAAAACCACAAAAGTGCTGATTAGGAAGAGTTACATTTAAATATCAGAGGGTAACTTTCTCACATAATCATAATCAGAGGGAAACATACATGAAACAGAAGGTAAAATATAACAGTTTTGGATGAGGTCCATTTTATTAACATACAAGAACACATGAACACATAACAGACAAGAAAAGAAACAGAGATAGTGAATCTCTGACATTGTGATTGTTGTACCATTTATAAACATGATTTAGGACATGACAATGATGAGACAAGTGTACCCTGCTCTGTTCTGGCCTTGGTCCTTTGGCAGCACTCTCAAAAAAACAGTGGCTCCTCAACGGTTCTTCAGGGGATGATTCTTTACTCTATGTGGTTCTTTAAAGAACTGAAGGCTCTTTATCTTTTATAGAGCTGTTTGGTTTGGTGGCAGGTAGCAGCATAAAATCAAAGCTGCAACGAACAATTATTTTAATTAACAATTAATGTAACAATTATCTCAATTAATCAATTAATCATTTGGTCTGTAAAACAACAGAGAACAGTGAGAAATGTCCATCACAATTCCCCAAGTCATCCTATGCTGGCATCAATGTATTCTGTTGTTTTGTCTGACGAACAGTTTAGAAATATAAAAACAAATATAAACAAAATAATAATAATAAAATGAATTATAATGACTGACCTAGAAATTCTGCAAATTCGTAGATGTGACTTGTCTTTTTTTAAATGACTTGAACGATTTAAAGTCCTAAAATTAACTAAATAAAAATATAACTAGATGGGTCCACAAAGAACCATGTTATGGTTTTGTTTTGTTTGTATAATGTTTTGTAGTTTTTCTTTCCTGCTCTTGTGTGTGATTATGTTCACTCAGAAAAATACAGGTGCTCACTGGAACCAGAAATAGTTTCTCACAGTGATGCCATAGAAAAACCACAAAACATTACACAAACAAAACAGTTCAAACTGTGATGTGTTGTGTGTGTGAGTGTGCAGTTACTACTTTGTTTTTTTTGTGTTTAAATCCCTTTTAACCACTGTTTTTGCAGCATAAAATGCCAAGACTTGTTTTATGATTAATCAGTTTCTATTTTGGTAAATGAACATATGGGAATTCATGTTCTCACAGGATTTTTGTGGTCGCCTTTTGATGCAAATCTATTCACAGTCTACCAAATCCCAGTGGGTTATCTCGGGATTTTGCTACTTACAGTCATTTAGCTTGTGCTGCGTCCTGGTTACCCAGACAGAAAGATCTGTGTATGTTGGTGGAAATTGTCACAGTGCCTCCTCTTTTCTCCCAAGCAAAAACCCCATGCCTAATTTTGCTTTTGAATGTGTTGCACAGTGAGGGAGAAGACAGAGAAAGCAACTACAATTAAAGAGTATCTAGTCTGTAACAAATCAAAGAAGGGAGGAACAAGCTGTCAGGTCTCCTGCTATAATCACTGTAATATCCTGTGTGACTTAAGCATAAGCAGTTATAATAATGACACTGTGAAAGTATTAAGGAGCTAAAATATTTTTCTCACATGCAAATGCTTGCTGGCAGGTGTCTATAATTATCTCTTTTGTAGCAGCGACCTGTAAAAGACACACACACAGAGGCAGCACTGCCTTCTGCTAATGTTGTGGTGGGATTTTTATAGTATTTTACCTCATGGCATTTCATGGTACCTGTTTGCCAGCTTACTCTTATCTGCTGTGAAAATGCAGCATTATTATATACAGGTCACTGTGAACTCCACCAGTTCAACACAGCTCTGTGGTTGCTGATAAACTCTTTCATGCAGTTTTGATGTTTTTCTTACTTTTATCAAACAGCTCAGGATGAAGAGTTATTTCTAATTAGCTGTAAGTGCTACGAACAGCACATCACTTTGTACCGTCTATAGATCCTTGTTTGTTTGTTTGTACAGCATCAAGGATTTATGCATGTATGCATGGAAACATCTATACAGATGTGTATTAGCCTCCAGTTTCCTGTGTTGCATATGCATCCCACAGCTTCTTCCTGGTCGTGTCTGTAGCAGGGTAATTGGATCCAGTCAGTCACTCTGTCACTTACACCTGCAGCAGATGTGACTGCAAAAGCACCACAGTCTGACGAATGCACTGCAAACCCACCTGCTGCATATACCACAAAGCACATATAGAAACACACACTTTCCTATTAGATGGATACACATACATGGCACACACACACTCAGCTGGGTGCACGCACGAGTATCCAAGGACTAGAACTCTGACATAATTTACTGCCTCAGTGCGTTTAACATCCGCTTTCTCTTCTCCCAGCTCTTCATCTCATCCGGTTTGGGCTTGAGTCCCTAAACAACATAAAACATTCCTGTCAGAGTGTCTTCAGTGTTTGAATTATGTGTGAGGGACTGTGCATCCTGTTAGTGTGTGTGTGTGTGCGTTTGCCATTTCCAAAGTGCTGTGATTTCTTTTCTTAAACCAGGTTTGGATAAGAAACTGCAGATTTTTTCTTAAAAAATTTTTATTTTTTTTTCAAAGCACTTTTAGGACATCGGTTCCCAGATCTCATAGTGTATGCTCTGTTTGCCTTCTCCTAACACTGGACTCGCTGAACTCCTCAAGCATTAGCCTACTCATGATGCGAGCCTGTTTCTGCTGTCTACCCGCTGTCACTTCTCCACACTCAGGTCGCAGCTCAGTTATTTGGCAAAGACTGACTGAGTTCTTCTGTCTTCATTTTCTTGCAGGCACAGAAATCGTGGATAGAAAGAGCATTCAGCAAGCGGGAATGTGTTCATATAATAGTGAGCGCCAAAGACCCCCATAGGTGAGTACGAATTTAAGACAAGGAAATGGGACAATAGGACATCTAAGTTGCATTACTCTTTACTCACATTACACTGGGTAAAGAATAAGAAACACGGAAATGATCAGATATCTATAATATATATATATATCTTTAGCATTTTTCTGTTTGATTGATTGATTGCTGTAACAGCTAAAAGACCCAAATGATGTGAAAGCCCATCTCACATAGATTTAGAACTCTGTGTCACTACTGACCTTTAAAACATGCCTCGGAGTAACATCACTTTGACCTTGATTTGTCATCCAGGTATTTGGTCTAATGAGCCGCAATCCTGACCTTAAACATTTTAAAAATACAAACACCAAGTTAAACTGCTTTAGAGTCAAAATTTATATCACATCCAGGCTAGTGTATAAAGACAGTAAAATGTTCCACATCATTTTAAAAGGCTATTCATTGAAGCAGTCAGGAGAGAGCCAACAGGAATGTACTGCTCACTGAAGGCCTTGTCTGTACAATACAAACAGTGTAATAGGTCTGCAGTGATAACAGCACATCTGGTAAATGGATTTGAGAGACACACTTTTGCACTCATTAGCCGAACACGCATCCCATTCTGCTCTGCAAAGTCATTGTCACAATGCAACACATTCTCACTCCCAGCCTGTCACGTTAGGACGGTTGTCCTTTTGGCATCAATATGTGATACATTTAGTACACCTTTAGCATAATTTTTTAACATACAGGATAAGGGAACATTTTGGCAGGTCTAGCAATATAAAGACCTGGAGGAGCAGCGCCCTCACAGGTCAATCACAGGACGTTCACCCAATAAAGCAGGGATCTGTCTTCTATGTTGCACCCTTTTTTATTTTCAGCCACTGTTTGAGAAGTTTAAGGCACCAAAAGTAGTTGGTTCAGTTTAGGAAAATATCATTGTTTGATTTAAAATACACCTTCTCACAATGTTTGTCACATTTTAGAGGGCAAACTTCTCCCATCTGCAACAAACGTCTCCTCCATTCTCGTGGTAGCCAATGTAATAAGTCCCACTTCATCTGATGTATGATTTGTTGCCAAACAAGGCAGCAGCAGAGAACATTTGGCTGCAATCTTATGGCATCGATTACAGACGTTGAGGGACTTCTGTAGAAATCTATTGGACCACCCTGCACGTTCAAAAATATTGCCAAGAGGTTTCCAGTGTGTTGATATGTGACACCAAGGAGTCCTGATAAAGGGTTCGTATCTGAGGAGTTGGGAATGACACGGACCTGACGTCATCAGAAGTTGATGCTGTTGCTCAGGAGAACAAACCGAGAGGCTAATTCCTGCAGTGTCAGCCATCATCATACACACAGGAAATGCCGCTGTTTGTTAGGTAAACAAAATTAGCATAACTTGAGGGACTCGAGCGCGAGCCAGGAGCAATAAGGGAAAGAAATGTTCCTCAAGATCAAATCAGCTTTTTCTTTTTTGTCAAAAATGCTTGCGCTCATGCGTAAGACAGCGGAAGGCGAAGTACCTTTGGTAAAAGATGATGGAAACATGAAGTGATAATCAAAGCCTCCTGACTCCCTTCCTCCAGAGGCTCCTACTCCACCCTGTAAGGTGAAAACACAGGATATGAAAGCTGCATTCAGCACATCTGAATAAGCATGTACTCATGTAGGAATACTACAATTCATAACTGTCACACTGCAAACGTCTGTAGCTGCTAAAAGGGAAAAAGAGAGGCGAACAAGAGGGGAAAAAACAGACAGAAGTTTGAAGAACTGAAAACAAAAAGAGACAGAGCCAGTAAAATATTGCATGGGCCTACAAATCCAATCAGGAGATGAAAGTCAGATGACAAGCTGTCACTTCAGCCTTGCCCCACATCTTACTGCTAGGCACATGACTATGACAGCCCTCACGCTCTTTCCTCTCCCACTCTCAGTCACACACAATCTCTCTCTGTCACTTTCTCATTTTTCCTTCTCAATGCTACAGTAGCTTTGCTTGGGGCTCAGACTTCACAAGATTTCAATTATGCTCTGTAAAAGACTATGTTATATACCAGTGTGACACTCACTGTGACTTTCCCTTCTCATTCAGGTGCTGTTGCGGTCGTCTGATAGGCCAGCATGTGGGCTTGCCACCGGGTATCTCGTCCAGTCAGAATGATAAGGCCGAGCGGTTGGCCAAGAATGACAGCCTGTCAGAGAAGTGGTCAATCAGCAAACACACGCAGCTCAGCCCCACTGATGCCTTCGGCACCATTGAATTCCAGGGAGGAGGACACTCCAACAAAGCCATGGTGACTCCTTTTACATACAGACAGAGCTTCAGTACATTTTGTCAGTGACCTTGTAGACATGCTCCATAGAAGCACACTAAAGCAGATGGCAATGTCTGGGCCACCACTCTCAGTGAACATACACAGCCAATGTGATCTTACACACACCAGTGGGGGTGATCAATCTCAGTGCTGTGAGATGTGATATAGGCAGGTTAGACCTAAAACAATGCTCATTATCATTCTGCTACAACGGTAAAAAGCTTTCTTCTGTCAGTGTGGTAGGTTGCTGCCTGGAGGTAGTTGTTTCCCAAAGTAAAGAGGATTTTAAAAACAGTAAGACTTAGATAGCAGACGGAGAGGAGAACGCTGTGTGAAATGCACAGCCAGTGCAAGCTTAAACCTGCAGTCCTCATCAGGTGGGTCGGCCTATCACAGCAGTGAACAAATGTGGTGTCTGTTTAGGATTGTGAACTGCTGTGCTCACTGCACTGAAGATAGAAGAAAAAGACAACAGATGCAGTGTGAACCCTTTGAATCACTTTCACAGTAAACAGAAAATTCCTTTCTGAATAAAGAGTTGATAAAGTTCAGCTAAAGCTTTGTGGAACTGATCAGAATGATGGTTTCAAGCGGAGGCAAACCCAAATTAATTAATTATTTTAAAACTTATTTTCACCCCAGGCCACATAAGCATTGTGTTTGCCCTCAAAGGGCCAGTCGTAGTTGTAAGACGATATAAATTTGTCATATAAATGATAACATTATATTACATTATATTATATTACAATATCCCATTCATTTATCAGATTAGGAAACACACATCTCTCGCGAGCCACATAAAATGACGTGGTGGGCCGGATTTGGCCCTCGGGCCTTGAGTTTGACAGGTGTGTGATTTCATGCTATTGCAAGCTGAAGCTATATCCAAACTGAAGCTGCACTGCAGCTCATGCTTGAGTTAAGACTAAGAAATTTTAGGTGACTCATACCAAAATGCAATCGTGCAGGAAATCTGTCTTGTGTGACACCAAGCATCTTGTCTGGACCAAATTCCAGGTCATAATCAGCAGCCCAAGAACAAAATGTGATTTGAGGTTCAAAAATACACATCCAAACAGGAAGCATTAAACCTTTGACCTCTGATGGAAGCCTTCCTTTGTGTAAGTAAGTAAAGGTGGTTGGTAAATGGTGGAATGGTGCACAGTATATGAGCTTGTGAAACGAAATGTAGATTTAATCACAGATGTCATGTTGTACTGACATGAGTGGACAAAGATAAAGTAGACTGGGTGATTTTCAGTGAATATACTAGAAGAAGAGGATCATAAAAACTTCAGACAGTTGTGAAAGCTGAAAATGTATAATGGCTGAATGTGATCTGAAGATATTTTTATCAGCCTCAGTGAACAGATGTAGTTTGACAGCTCACAGGTACAGAGGGGGAACGTGTTGGGTTTGTGGTTTACTTTAATGAGCTTTCTGGGATGGCAGTAAAATGGAAGTGGTTAAATATCACAGTAACTGCTGTATTTTTTTTTACCAGTCAATATATTTCATACATAGTCCAAATACAAAGTGAAAATGACATTGACAAGAGGACTCATCAAGAGCCCTTGTGTACCTTATTCTTATCCTTACAGCGAATGACACAATTGAACATTTCAGAAGGCCTGAGGATAGCAGCGAAATCTTTCAAATTCGTATAATGATTATGGAAATACACATAATTATTGCTTTTAAAGACCCGAGCATCTAGAGACTGCAGCAGATAAAAATTTTTCCTGATTAATTGATCCACCCCAAAAAGCAGTCGGATGGTACATTTTATTCGCGCAGTCCCTGTGTATGATAACCATGGTAACGGAATGACATCACTCACACTGTAGCATTGTGGGAATTCAGATGATTAAATCTGAATTATGTCTGATTTATTCCCAGTGTTAAATTATTCATCCAGACACATGTCAGGTTGGATTTCTGAGGGTGAATTAGAAAGATAAACAGATGCTGCATTATGCATGTGGTCCTTCAATCATAGCAAACATCTGTTTGATACTTTTTGTAACTTGAAAAATGAAACCCATATGCCGAGGCAGTCCTGCAACACCAATCTTTGCAATGTTTTTCACTTCATCGTTTTCCTTCACTTCATATATTTAGTGTTTTGTTTTTTTAACATGTAAAGCTTTTGTAGAACAAAGTGTGTGCACGTCTATGTATTTGCACATCCCACACCTGAAATTACCATTTGTGTGCCTGAGTGAGATGCAGATGTGCAGCTGTACATCACTGACACACTCCCTACTGTTTGCAGTACGTGCGAGTGTCGTACGACACCAAGCCTGACCTGCTGCTCCACCTGATGACCAAGGAATGGCAGCTGGACCTGCCCAAGCTGCTCATCTCAGTCCACGGAGGCCTGCAGAACTTTGAATTACAGCCCAAACTCAAGCAGGTGTTTGGCAAAGGGCTCATCAAGGCTGCCATGACAACAGGAGCCTGGATTTTCACTGGAGGAGTTAACACAGGTAGAGTATGTTTGTTTTGACATCTTCTCTGTTTCTAAAACAGTCAAAATCTTGTTCGATGTCAGTATAAATGATCATGTTTAATGTAAAAATATTTCAGCTGGACATTTTACTTGCACTGTGCAGCATCAATTCTTTATATATAAATTAAGTGGATACTTCTGGTAGGAGTATGATGAGTGTGTTCAAATGTTCCTCTTAAGTTATTGGCTTTTAAATAACCATTTTTAAGCACCTCTGGACTCTAAAGATCTTCTACCACTGGATGTCTGTAAAATGCTTCTTTAAAGTATCTTATGAGGACTCAATTACACTTATAGACACTTAAAGTTAGACTAGACATGTGAAGTAGCTCCCATTTATTATTCCATGCATTTTGAATGAAAATAAAACCAGACGGTCTAGACGGCTTATTTTTACAGCAATGAAAAGGAGCCACATTTAGATCAAAATGTGTATTTGATTCAAACAGACTGGAGAGTTATTATTCTTTTATTAGTTGCATGACAGAAATAACTGAGGTGGCAATTAGGGCTCGTCACAAACTTACGCTTTTCTAGTATTTCTCCTTGTATGCACTCGAGGAAGAATGTTGCTGCTTTTACATGGGATAGTGGAGATCTGAAAAAATTAAAATGGTAACAATTTGAAAGCAATATAGGAGTTTCCTTATTAGAGTCCAGATGAGTTGCAGTCATGGAGAAGATCGCTTTAGGACTAAGGAGGAGATACTGAGTGGCTGGATGAATCTGACCTGGAGGACGATACGTGAGAAGCTCAGTGGACTGGATCTTGAATTTAGGAGTTTGGGGGCTGAAAGACAGTAAAGCCAGAAAGAAACTTTTTCAAAGTTTGACAGCAGCAAGATGATGTGATAGTGCAGTGTTTGTGATAAAATAAGATTGATGGAAATGAATATAGGGGAAACCCAGCTGACAGACTGGCAGCACATGAATTATGCATTAATATGGAGTTATCATGTTTATGGAAAGTAGTCTCAGTGATTGAACTTGAGTTCTACCGTGTGTCTGATCTCTGTAGGTTTTCAGTGGTGGCACAAACTCATTTTGTATCGTGTAACAGTATCAAGGGTTTCCATACAATATTCATTCATATGATTATTTCTGACTTTGTTGTAAAATAATAGGAAGTCATTTAAATACTAGGATAGTGTGTGCAGAATAGTCATTCCTTCACTTTACACTTCAAACATTACCAGGAGTGTTGATGTTACAGTTCTCAGAAGCAGTGTTTCCCTTTTTAGTGTTTGTGTTCTTCATTGTTTGTGGATTGAAAATAGAAAATTATTTCCATAACGTATATGGAACTTAGCAGCCTTGAAATAAGAAAAAATAGTGGGACAGTGATGTTCAACAGAAGAGATAATAACAGATGGAATAAAACCATACAGTGTTGGATGTTGTAGAGTGCGCACACTTGAATACAGAAATGAACAGAGAGTAAGATTTAGTGACAGAATGGGTGCAGAGGCAAGAAAGAGGAAGAGGGAGGCCTGAATAATGGATGGATGGCTGGATTGGAGGGACAGTGGGTGGAGATAGAGAAAGAATGAATGTCAGCAGGAGAGATGGGATAAGATGGCCTCCAGGTCTGACTGCTGCTCCCCTGAGGACAACAACTAGAGGCCTGGAGCTACAACCTGCCTGCGTTTGAATCAAAGCGTGTGCACGTGTGCACGTGTGGACATGTGCGCGCACATGCACATCGGCTGCCACGCTGTTGTCTCCCGTGCTTAATAGATTTGGTTTATCTATCACAGCGGAGTGAATCATTGTCTGACTTTAGGCTGTGTATTGATTGTGACAAAATATATCTTTTTCTCTGTCCTTCTTTCAAACACTCTTAAACATTTATTCACCCATGTACACACTCACAGGGGTGATTCGCCACGTGGGTGATGCGCTGAAAGACCACGCCTCCAAGTCAAGGGGGAAGATCTGCACCATTGGTATTGCTCCATGGGGCATTGTAGAAAATCAAGAGGATCTTGTTGGCAAAGACGTAAGTCACAAAGGGGCTGCTCGCAGGCTTCGGCTTTTGTCTGTGTGTGTATGTCTAAACTGTATATGTGCAACACATGTCACATGTAGTTCACAATTGCCAGGGATTGTAAATAGCACTTGACGCCTTATTAACTGAGATGCTGAGTAAGCCTATTCAGTCTATGACAAACGCTCCTGCACAGTGAGTTGGACAGCTGGCAGAACCGCATGAGGCTGCCGAGCACATGCTGACTCATTCAAATCTCACAGAATCGGTGTTATGTTATAGTTAAAATTTCATCAGAGTGTGCTGCGCTCGGTCCTGACTGAACAAGTCAGGCAGAGCCGATTAATGTTGGTGGCTGAAATGAGATGATTAAGTGCTGAGGCTCTTTTTTCATGCTTGATCGGTCTTAACTGTATGCCTAATGACCAGATGAGTTTACCTCAGATTGTCAGGCAGTGCTCCAGTACTCCATATCCAAGCTTCTGAGAAACTCCAATTTATGTTGTCTTGGTATTCACCCATTTTTCATAGTAATTTGGTGCAACTTTAAATACAATGTGCTGTTTAAAGTGATTGTGTGAATGCATTGAGTTGCCTTTTTTAGCTATTGATGCACAAAAACCTGCTTGTGAGAAGACAACAGTAGCTACTGCAAATGTATTGGAAAATCTAGATATTTATTTTGTTTTTATTATTTTTTATTACGAACTAAAGGCATCTTTCATAACCATGACAACAGCTTAGTGCTTAAATGTCTTAAAGGTGTTCTTCAGTATATTAGCTTTTTTTCAAGGACTAAGAAGAGACTGATTTAAATACAACAGTCATATATGGAGCAGGACAGATACATCCTGATTATAAGCTGATAGTCATGGCTCAAGCTCTGACCTGCTAAACTCCACATTTCCTATAATCTAACTGCTTGTACTGTCTCTGTTAGTCAGTCTGTGCCAAGAACATTTATGCCTATAGAGTCTAGTCTTAAACATTTTGAGTCTCCATGACCCACCAAGATAATCCCTCATGACATCATTAGGGTTATATTTTCAAACTTTTTCCAGTTTCCCCCAGAGCCACAGAGGCCCCTTTACAACTGAGTAATACTCTCCTGACAAGAAAACTGAACTTGAGGTGTGATAGTCAACTTGGTGGAGTGCTCCTTTGTCTAAAACCTTGGAATGAAGAGATGAGAACATCCATCCAGCCATCCATCCATTCATTATCTATACACCGCTTAATCCTCACTGGGGTCGCAAGGGGGCTGGAGCCTATCCCAGCTGACTCAAGGTGAAGGCAGGAGACACCCTGGACAGGTCACCAGTCTATCACAGGGCTACACTTAGAGACAGACAACCAAGCACACTCACATTCACACCTATGGACAATTTAGAATCACCAATTAACCTCAACATGTTTTTGGACCTTGTGGAAGGAAGCCGGAGAACCCGGAGAGAACCCACACTGCACAGGGAGAACATGCAAACTCCACGCAGAAAGATCCCGGTGCCCCCACTGGGACGCGAACTGGCAGACTTAGATGAGAACATAGTGTACTTTCTTTTTTTTTTTTTAACAAATTCATTTGTAGCCCGGAGTTTTCTACTTAGAAAACCTTATAAAACCATACAAGACTCCTTTGTCAAGTTGTCACACACCACTGTCAGCGTTATGGTTCTTAGATGTTTGCGTAACTGTTAAATATTGTCCTCTCTTGGCTAGGTGGTGCGTCCATACCAGACCATGTCCAACCCTCTGAGCAAGCTGACGGTTCTAAACAGTCTCCACTCCCACTTCATCCTGGCAGACAATGGCACCACGGGAAAGTATGGCGCCGAGGTCAAACTGCGACGCCAGCTTGAGAAACACATCTCCCTGCAGAAGATCAACACACGTGAGTGAAATTTGCCATATCTGTGTGTCAGGGCTGCTGCCAAACTGACCTACTTAGCTCAAATTAGAGGCCTTTTCAAACGATACAGCAAATGATACCGTCATAATGAAACTGCAATCCTTGTTTTATCAACAACACCACCATGGGTTAATTGGGTTCACTCCGTTTTATATCTGCCACCAGACTAAAATTATCACTACCTGCTTTATACGGAACACATGCTGTCAGACAGTGTATTTTTAGCCAGCTGGATATAACTTGATGAGCCTTTGAAACTGTCCATCCCTTCAGGAGGGGTTTATTTTTTGCTTTCAAAGCTTCCTGACAGCTCAGATGAACTCTTTCCTCAAATGAATCTGCCTGATAATATCTGTTTTCCTGTTTTGGGGCATCAACAGCTACTAAACCAGCTGAAAAGCACAGACATGATGCAAAGTGCAGAACTATTGTACACGCAGGTTCACAAGTACCTAATGTGTCCTTAAATACACTTAGATGTAATGAAGATGTCAATCAGGTTGTATTTTATTTTATTTTTTATAGTATTTGTACCTTTATTTAGTAAGAATAATTGGAATATGATAGTTGAATAGCATTTTAACCCACTGGGTTGACTTCACAGGCAACAGTCCGGCCTAATCATTTTGTGTGACGAGCACAATAATGTTTTATAACATGCAGATGTTAAAACTCAACAGCATGTCCTTTTATTCATTATTTTTGAGCAGCTCTTCATGTAGTCAATTTAAAATTTGTTGCACCAGAAGCACAGTGTGCATAAAGGGTACTTGAACGCTTGCTTATGTGTCCAAAGACACAAATGTTTGTGTCCTGTGTGTACATGAGTCTGCACATACTTGGCTTTGCGTGGAGTGTTCATCCACCGCTGAGCCCTTGTCACATTGCATTTTTCTGTTTTCAATTTTCACATTATACCTTAGCTAGAAACTGAATGGATTTGCATGAATATAAAATGCATTTCTGTCTTTTCCTCTCTCACTCTCTTATTCTCTGTCCCTCTCATACACAGACACACAAAAATAAGACACAAGCACAACCTCTCTGACACACTTTAAATGCATTTTGTCAATAGCCTCTCACAGCATTGTTTACAATGAACAAATAACAAACCAGAGCCGGAGAAATGTTGTTCGCAGCCACGATTTATTTGTTATTACCTTCTTTTGCTGTCAGCATAAAGCCATTTTATAATAATTTCCTCTGGGTTTGGTTGACATGAATGCACACACTTGGACATCAGTGCTTATTTAAAAAAATACAGAGAACTCGAAGTGTCAGGAAGAGGGCTGCAGCGACGAGAGCAATGCAATGATCTGCACCTCACCTTTGTCAACACTCGTTTTGTTCACTGTCAGACCGATCACTGATGTTTGCTGATAGGGCCTTTATAAGGGTATGTGAAATGTCACTTTCATTCTTACAATGAAATCACTACCAGGCTCTTCCTAGCCCCTAAACTTCAAGGATTTGAGAACGGTTCCTGGACATCCAAATATCCTCCTTCGTTCATCCAGTCATGTGACCTATGGACTTCCCTTTGTCATCCTATGCCTGGATGCATACAGAAGGGGCTGGGAAGGCAAAGGGACGCCCAGTTGTCATGCAAGCATCTAATACGCCATCCTTAATTTAAATAAACCCTGTGGTTATCTTTAGTCTATATTTGGACCTGAGGTGAACACCAATGTGTGATCTGTTAATAAGGTGATAACAAGGTGGTAGGGGACCAGGTGCACGACGTATCTGCTGCTGACTAGCCACATGACAGAGCCGTCACCCACGCGCTGTCTCACACGGTAACCTTAACCTCAGCAGTGTCTGAGGTTGCACCGATAACCAGCTTCGGCTTCACAACCTGCCACTCACACTGGAAACTCGCCTCTCGAGGTGAAGTGCTCCATCAGCCAAAACGAATCCATAGACTTAATGGAAATCATTTGAATATGTGTAGGATGAAGTGGTATTTTTTTGTATGCGATGACTGTTGTTTCCACAATCAAAGCAAATTTACCCACTTTCGCCTGCTGCTGTATATTAGAAACTGAAAACATAATGATGTAGCTGTTCTTGTTGGTCAGATTTGGAATCTCATTACGTTGTAGTTGGTGGATTTACTAAACCTAAACATAATTAGAGTAACCCTTTGTTGAGTGTGTTGTAGGCATGCTGAAGATTAAAATAATGCTTTATTGTTAAAACGAGACACAGGTGTAAATAAATACCAAGCTGCTCACATCCATAAGAGTCACGTTGAAAAGAAATTAAAGAAAGTGAATGAATGAATAATGCATATGTTTAAGCTTCTTAACATGTGGTAGAGGAAACCACAAATCCATTCTGCTGTCACATGAATGTTGCTGAGTTATAGCACTGTTCTCTAACCAACAAACACACACTGTATGTGTCAGTTTGAAGACCTTGTTGTGTGTGTGTGTGTAGGCACCTTTTACTTCCTCATTCACTGCTGTAGGGTTTTCAGACAAGGGCCATTTCTTGATTTGATTACCTGTCCATGGTCAATCGATGACTGCATCAATTTTCCTCACAGTAGGGCTCCTGTGGGATCCAAGTGAGGCCTGAGGGGGCTGTCAAAGAAAGGAGGATAAAGAAAGTGTAGAGAAGGAAACGCAGTTTAGTTTGAATGGCCTAACATGTGGGTTGTGGACCACACGTAACCACCAGCTCGTTTTTTTTTCTTTTTTCCTTAACACACAGTCCCACATACTGCACACAAACACAAGATGAAAGAAGTGTGGTGGATAGATATGCGTAATCTCCCCCTGTGGTATTTTTGTGATGTCTGGGCAATCCTGTAGCTAATCCTACTGTGCCTGTGTGTGAATTTCCATGCAATGGCTATCACCATGTGACTGCCAGAAATGCTGTAGCAATCAAATTGGCTCCACAATTTGTAACACAGTTTTTTTTAAGGATGGTAGTCAATCCTATATAACAAATCTATGGATGTTTTGGTCTGACTACACTCCAGAAGAACGTAACATTGCAAACTGTGTCTCATCAAATCTTCTAGGTCACGATTTACTGAAATCAGTGCCACTGGCATCTGTCAGATCTCATCATTGGAACGCAGTTTGTGCAGTTCCCAAACCTTTTAACACCACTTCTGGTTACACGACTTGAGTTTACCCCCCGCTTCCTTTCTCCTCCAGTCTCTACTGTATATTTGATGCTGTGGAAGGTGTCGGCTTCTGTGGTTTTGTACTCTCTTCAGTGGAAATTGGAGAATATTGTCAAAGGGACAGCTCTGGTTGGGTGTAAACAAAATAAATGTCTTTGGACAGTAAACTTGGCTTGAGTGGCTGTAAACATGGTGGATGGAGCCAAGACATTCACACGCTAGAATCGGTGCTCAGTGCTGTGCCCTGCTGTATATTCACAGCCCTCTAGTGAGGTAGCCAGTATGATGTAGTCTTGCTTGATAGAAGATGGACAGAGATGCAGACAGAAATGAGCCTGGGTTGCTCTGACACTTCACATGAGAATAGAGGGACAGAACGAAGCAGTGATCATGAATGATGTGATTAGATACATACGTAATTGTAAATTTGCCTTTTTTTTCTTCTTCTTATCATCTCCTAAAACTATAGCAGTCATTGTCAAACTCAAAGAATAAGAAAATGATTGGCACCAATTGACACAGTTCACTCAACCCCTGCACACCTCTTTTAACGTGCATGAAGGTGCGGCTATAATGCTTTTCAATCACACGCCCACTTCAAAGAGAGGACAAGAGCTGGAGAGGAAAGAGGGGTGGAAATGAAGACAGAGAAAAGGGATTTGAGGGTGAGCAGAAAGGGAAGCGCAAAAGCAGTGAGAATCAGCTGAGCAGGATGCAGGCGGTGAGACACTGCATTACCTTGAGGTGCCTTCATTGAAAAGCGCGATGCAGAAGTGAAAAGGCAGTGAAACAAAATAGCAGCCTTCATCCATGAATGTTTTCTTATTAAGCTAAATATGAGAAAAATGTAAGAAAAACCAGCATTCTATTCACTGCTGCTTTTTTGCTTTGCAAACACACAATTTAAAACTGAATGCACATGCCAGGTTCAAATAGGAATAAGAGTTGTTTATTTGTGCATGTTTGGATACAATCTGAGAGAATGAACAAGCCACCTTGAGCGTGCCTCTTTCCGTTTTACCTAAATTACTCAGAATATTGAAACGGGTTTACGAGTTTATTGAATCTCTGCATACATGTAGGTGCAGCCATGAGTGCTGCAACCTTCACTGACCCTCCTATAGCTGTGGTTTCATTAATCACAGCATACGAAAAAGAAGTAGCTGGGGTAATTGAATCCAGAAGCCGTAAGGCCTTGCGTTGCAGATTAGCCATGACATCGTGACCTCTACCATGGAACAGCACATACAGAAAAAAATTATAGTTAAGCTATGCTACATGGAAAGTCAAGAGGGTTGTCCTCTTCTTTCAAGCACTCTAACTGCTTAGACAAATCTTGAGTTTTTCTATTATAGTTATAATAATGTCACCCCCCTGTTTACACTGTCCATGTGTGTAACCAGTTTACTTGGTGGCTGTTGTTGTTTGACACGTCACGCAGCTGTAGTCCCTTATTTTGAAAATCTGGCTGAGAAAGGACACCCTGGACTGAATGTGATCGATTATGTAGGAACACATGTAATTACGCTGTTCAAATATTACCACTAAAATGTCATTTAAATGTTTACAAGTTCATTCAAGCCTCAATCATAAATGAAAATGAGATTTTCAGAAGCCCGTCCGGTCGGTGGTTTTGGGTCCACGTGGTAGCGAAGCCGCGTTGATCGCTGTTTAAATCTGTAGATCTGTTGGTGAAATATTTGCGAGCACGTGAGTAAACAGAGACGGTGTGGGGACAATCGAAGTCACTGGCGGGTGAGGGGTCTTCATGCGTAAATGGATGCAAAAAACATGTCAAAATGATAAACATGAACTGCCAGAGTGTTCAACCCTGTGGTGG